GTAATTTGAGAAAATATTTATAACAATCCAGGAATTAAATATAACATAAAATCAATTATTAACAGTACAGTACTCAACACTTATAAGTCTATATCAGGAATGAATCCCTGTCTCTCCCGAGCTTGCAGGCGTTCCTTATATCGAGGCCACATCTACTTTATGGCTGTTTTGACATTTATTATAAACAATGACGGCGGCTCGATACAAGGTCTCTCACTGTATGTATATGGGTGGGTAAGTGAGTATGTGTGTGCCTAGTTATATACATATTATATTATATACTTACATATTTACCCATATATATAATTTTTATATTATTCTCATACGATGAATTATCACTGTTATTATGTTTTTACATTTTTTCCAAAAAAAGCTTAAAATGATCTAATCAGATCAGATCAGAAAAACTATCGATTCTGCATATATTTATAAATAATATTTGCTTCCTGCACACCGTGAACCGAAATTATAAAAATTTATCATATTTTGCATAACAAAGGTGCTCTTGTTAGATTTTAATAGCATGAGCCATTTTCTAGTAAAATCCATTTCAATAATTCATTACGTGCTCAAAAATTCCTGCTATCAAATTGTGCCATGAGAAAATAAATATTTATAACACTTAACAGAGGTGTCAAGTATATGTCAATTACTGATTAGATTACCTACTCAATATTCCAATCTAAGAAATTTGAATTTAGATACTGTAATAAACATAGAATAAACTAAATTATTATAGGGCTACTAGTTTAGATACAGAGGAATCCACGCGGATCACCTATCCGCGGCGGGCAGGTGTGAACGAATTCGAAAACGGTAACATAAATAAGTTCCGTGCGGATGCAATCCGCGCGGTTTCCACCGTGTCTGAATTAGCCCTTAATGCAATATTATCTTCAACGGTGAAACTACATTTACAATAAAAATTTTATGTTTCATGGGTCTTTTTTTGGTATTTTTTGATTTTCAAATAAAAATAATAGTAATAACATTTTATTATTCAAAATTATCTACTTAACTATATTAAACTCAGATTTAGTAACAGTTACATAACAACTACAATAACGATAATAATAGTACAAAAGGAAAATTAAAAATAGTAATTTTCTCATGGCACAATTTGGTACATTTATTTTGCAGGCCCCTGTAGCAAATTTTAATTTGTANATTGTATAACAATTTCGACCACATGGCGTGCAAACTTTTTCTCTATTTTGATCATGACCACATTTATCCGGCATTTTTGCTCACTAGATTATTCTCAAAAGTACTTCTCGAAGGTACTGAAAGGTATTCACACAGTTACGAAGTAATAAATTTCGAAATCAGGACACTCTAGGTGCGTGTTCCTGGAACACCGACTGCAACACTACTGACTACACATGCTTTAAGTTTATATACATTGGTTTGTATATGTTTATTGCTATTTTCATGCACACACACACACACACGCACACACACACACGCACGCACGCACGCACACACACACACGCACGCACACACACACATGGAAAAAATTCCTCAAAATTTTGACTGTTTTTGTATCCTTGAAATTCTATTTTTCCATATTATTGTGATGGTTTATGTTGTGCTCAAGTTTCTAAATGTATTTCCATGTTTCAAACACCCACACGCAGACACGGACAAATACACACACAAACACATACGCACATACACACACACCTTATGGGCCTTTCTGTTCCCTTCATTTTGAAAAATTTCGGTGGTGGAAAACTCGAGTAGGCGATCAGCTGGGATTTCACTTTTCACGGATTTTTCATTGTTAAGAGTTCAGGAAACGAACCCTCTGACCCGATTTTTGCGTTATCGGTGACAAACTTTTTTCGCCTTCAAGACCACCATGTGTGAGCCATGAAAATAGAACTTCTAGCCTTGTCCTTGTACAATAGTACTTTGTACAATTATTTAGTGCTTCATGCATAGGGTGATACACACAGTTCTCTTTTTATTGCGATTTACTTTGCTATGAACACATTTAAATGGGAGAAAATGTAGACATATGTAAAAAGTTTTCTGGAATCAGAATAACAATCAGAAAAACAGTTGAACATCAATATAAAGAAGTTTTCAGGAAAAAACATCCTATTTTTTCGTAGAAAATGGATTATATTAAAAAAATTTTTATAATAAACATTCATTGTTCAATTTTGATCGGTACTTATTTTTTATTAGCTTCATAGATATTATTTTTAATTATGATCCCAGTAATGCATAATATATTTTTAATATTTGATAAGCCTAACAATCAACAAAATGAAAATTTTGATAGGCGCAGTTTTATAAATTTGGAGTGTGCTTTGAAAAACAATTATTGTCTTTAAGATACAACCACCGGTATGAAATATTTATGATAAAAATTATATATTACATCCCTATAAATATGTTACGTCTTGCTTCCTTTAGACAATATAATTATTTCAGAGTTCAAATGCTTACTATTTATTTCCTTATAAAATGATAAAACTATGATATACTGTAAATTGCTGGATTCGTAATTAAAAATTTTATCTGACACAACCAATGTATACAAGGTTAGTTAACAATAACTACTATTCAGAATGTAGTAGTGCACCATGATGTTCCTAATTCAATTATCGTTGTTTAATTATGACAGTTGTTGTCAACCATTTTTCCGCCTGTATCGCCAGTAAATAAGAAATATTCAAGGTGTTAACGAAATAAGTAATCAAAATTGGAGAGTATGTAAAACATGTCGAAATATGATGAAAACCTTAATAGAGTTTTTGTCAGTGGCGGCCCTTAAGGGAGATACAGCCCCTTGAAGAGGTCTCAGGAAACAGTTTTTATTGCATAACTTCAAAACGGTCTAATATTAAATGGCGAAATTGTGGGGTTGCATTACTATTTATATGCTTAATAATTGGCAAAATTTGCTACAGGGGTATAAAAAATGCGGAACCATAGGGCAAATATTAGAATTTTATTTGTATGCAATTTTTTCGACTTCCTGAACCCACGGTGTACAGGAAGCAAATTTTATTCAAACGAAAATGTCGAGAAAAACTGCTTATGCAGGGGGCTTGATACTTATAAATACATGCAGAATCGATAGTTTTTAAAATCTGATTAGATCATGTTAAGCTTTTTTTGTAAAAAATGTAAAAACATACCTAATAACAGTGATAATTGATCGTATGAGAATAATATAAAAATTATATATATGGGTAAATATGTAATAATATAATATATAACTAGGCACGCACATACTCAGTTACCCACCCATACACATACATATATACAGGGTCGGAAAGTCCCCATGGTTCATCGGCCGTTACGTGAGAGCGATAAAGAAAGTCATAGAAATCCGTGCGATAGAGAAAGATGGCTATAATGAAAGCGTCTTTTCACCCTTCCGCAAATAAGATCCACTTCTTATTTGTTGAAGGGTGAAATGGGCGGTGACTATTAGACGCCTTTATTATAGCCATCTCTATCGCACGGATTTCTATGACTTACTTGATAACTCTCACGTAACGGCCGATGAACCATGGGGACTTTCCGACCCTGTATATATAAATGTTTACATAAGCAAGTAGTTAATGGAAAAATTTAAATAAATACATGTATGAAAATCATAATTCCGTGTAAACCTTTAGTAGTAATTATTGAACATAATTGTAAATTTAATAAACTTATTTTTTTCAAGTTTATGTACTTATACATAAGACATATATACATAAGAATAAGATATATAAAACATATAACACTGTATTACTATTTTTGTTTGAAAAACTTAAATATTTAAAGATGAATAAGATACAACTGCTTTTTTCTATTTTGGTGAATATGCTGGATTATTTATTGATTTAACTTTTCTTCTATTCCAATGTTTCAAAAATTCCTTATGAATAGATTCTCCTGCCTGCTTAGACCAGATACCAAGTCCATCTCCATTTAGATAATTCCAGGCACTGCGTAAGATGCTCTAGTGTTACACGAACTTTTAAGGTTTTTGAAAGTTCGGTAGATTCAAAAATTGTTTTCAATTCTTTGATTATTTTTCCAGATTATCGCCCTTCTTTGAAGAAAAACAGCTATTTACTATTTTATTCATAATTTTAAGTGTGTTAATAAATGGAACCAAACTTAAAATTCCCACGTTACTATGTGTATATAGAAGGATCATCTAATTTATCCGCGTTTTCCAAAAGAGTACGACAGGAATTCCCTTCAAATGCTTCACCATGATAACTTCTTAAGCTTTTTTGGCCAAATAAATGCCTTTTCTCTACCAAGGATTGGAACTAATCCGTCCGAAAATAAGTGGTTGACGAATCCTTGCATAACATGCAATTCTGGAATGATGCACTTTTTTATCACACAAACATCATCATTTTCTTCTAACAATGGTAAATTTATAGTGCTTTGGCACTCTTTAGCTCTTTTTAAAAGTGCATGTTTATTAAATTTACAATTTTATATTCAATAATTACTACTAAAGGTTTACACTGAATTATGATTTTCATACATGTATTTATTTAATTTTTTCCAACTACTTGCTTATGCAAACATGTATATATAATAATATGTATTGTTAAAACACAGTAATTTGAGAAAATATTTATAACAATCCAGGAATTAAATATAACATAAAATCAATTATTAACAGTACAGTACTCTACACTTATAAGTCTATATCAGGAATGAATCCCTGTCTCTCCCGAGCTTGCAGGCGTTCCTTATATCGAGGCCACATCTACTTTATGGCTGTTTTGACATTTATTATAAACAATGACGGCGGCTCGATACAAGGTCTCTCACATTCGGCCTTCCTGACACAGGGTCGTCCCGGTCCTGTCTTACATGGCACCCCAAGATCTCGATGTCCTGAAGTGTCCTAGAAAGAGACAAAGAATACAACAGCAGTGGCACTTAAAATAATTGTTTTAGTTATTAATCGTAATCATTATTATTATTTTGAGTTTTGAGTCAGCTACTGGGAGTGCATTCGATTAATTTCGGTCAGCTCGACAAAAGCTACAACTTGGAGTACACGGTAGCAGCAGACTCTAAAATGGACTCGACAGACAATTTGCTGGAGTACACACAAAAATGGACTCGACAGACAACTTGCTGGAGTACACACAAAAATGGACTCGACAGACAACTTGCTGGAGTACACACAAAAATGGACTCGACAGACAACTTGCTGGAGTACACACAAAAATGGACTCGACAGACAACTTGCTGGAGTACACACAAAAATGGACTCGACAGACAACTTGCTGGAGTACACACAAAAATGGACTCGACAGACAACTTGCTGGAGTACACACAAAAATGGACTCGACAGACAACTTGCTGGAGTACACACAAAAATNGGCTGTTTTGACATTTATTATAAACAATGACGGCGGCTCGATACAAGGTCTCTCACTGTATGTATATGGGTGGGTAAGTGAGTATGTGTGTGCCTAGTTATATACATATTATATTATATACTTACATATTTACCCATATATATAATTTTTATATTATTCTCATACGATGAATTATCACTGTTATTATGTTTTTACATTTTTTCCAAAAAAAGCTTAAAATGATCTAATCAGATCAGATCAGAAAAACTATCGATTCTGCATATATTTATAAATAATATTTGCTTCCTGCACACCGTGAACCGAAATTATAAAAATTTATCATATTTTGCATAACAAAGGTGCTCTTGTTAGATTTTAATAGCATGAGCCATTTTCTAGTAAAATCCATTTCAATAATTCATTACGTGCTCAAAAATTCCTGCTATCAAATTGTGCCATGAGAAAATAAATATTTATAACACTTAACAGAGGTGTCAAGTATATGTCAATTACTGATTAGATTACCTACTCAATATTCCAATCTAAGAAATTTGAATTTAGATACTGTAATAAACATAGAATAAACTAAATTATTATAGGGCTACTAGTTTAGATACAGAGGAATCCACGCGGATCACCTATCCGCGGCGGGCAGGTGTGAACGAATTCGAAAACGGTAACATAAATAAGTTCCGTGCGGATGCAATCCGCGCGGTTTCCACCGTGTCTGAATTAGCCCTTAATGCAATATTATCTTCAACGGTGAAACTACATTTACAATAAAAATTTTATGTTTCATGGGTCTTTTTTTGGTATTTTTTGATTTTCAAATAAAAATAATAGTAATAACATTTTATTATTCAAAATTATCTACTTAACTATATTAAACTCTGATTTAGTAACAGTTACATAACAACTACAATAACGATAATAATAGTACAAAAGGAAAATTAAAAATAGTAATTTTCTCATGGCACAATTTGGTACATTTATTTTGCAGGCCCCTGTAGCAAATTTTAATTTGTATATTATACCGATTATTAAGCATATAAATAGTAATACAACCCCAAAATTTCGTGATTTAAACCGTTTTGAAGTTATGAAATACAAACTGTTTCCTGAGTTACCCCTTCAAGGAGCTGTATCTCCCTTAGGGGCCGCCACTGGCAAAAACTCTACTAAGGTTTTCATCATATTTCGAAATGTTTTACATACTCTCCAATTTTGAGTACTTATTTCGGTAACACCTTTTACGAAATAATTGGTTAATACAAAGGGTCAGTGATAATATATCAAACAGAGATCATTGAGGTCTCAACAACTACATATGAAATTCATTTCCAGTCAAACTGAAAGTCGAACATTTAAATGACTGTCATGAAAAAGATTGTAATGTGATAGGATCACATTATTTTCTTCAAAAAAATGCAAGGATTTCTCAAAACATCAGTTTTTCAACTTTCAGTCTTTTTTAAACCAATGTTCAATTTTCTCTTATTACATACTCTGATTTTGCAGTACTTTATGTATACCTACATTTTGTCTCATTGAAATATTTTAATAGTAAAAAAGTAAATCGTAATAAAAAAATGTACCTGTACTTTGTATATTTACTGTTGTAAATTTTTTATAACTAATATTGTAAAGGTTAGCTTCTGCTAATAAAGTGCTCTCTCCCTACCTCCCTTCATTGGATCAACAATTTCAATGAATTTAGTTCAATCACTACTCCAAACTTTATTTATCTTGCATCTTCATAGACCCTTGTCTCAAATACTGTTAACTTCATATAATTCATTTTTAGGACTTTAGGCCTAAAATCATCTAAAAATAACTGAAGTTATGACATGGGCTTTGAAAACACCTCGTATTTTGTACCACTAAAAACTGTATATTCAAACCAAATTTTTTCATTGTAATTTGTTTACATTTTGTTCCTTCTGCCTCTTATAATTAATATAGATATATGTATATTAGTGATTACCGTTCTATTTATTGTGTCAAATTCTATATTTGAATAATCATCAGCAAGCAATTTCTAAAAGTATTTATAAATTTGGAAAATATTACTATTAAACATATTTTGTCATTAGAACTATTGAATTTGTATATTTCAGTGGCTATATGCAAGAGAAAATGGGATGTATTACGTGCTAATTTCAGGAGAGCTCATAGAATAGAAAGAAGTGGTATTGGCAAAAAAACATGGAGATATTATAAAAAAATGATTTTTTTAATTCCATTTACAAGAACTGAGGAAGCAACAGATCAGTTAAAACAAGAACAATCTTTAAGGATAGAACCAGAAGCAATATTTAAAGAAACTGAAGAAGTTCCTGAAGAGAAAAACAGTATAGAAAAATCAAATGCAAATAATCAATTTTTTACAAGTATGGCAATGACTATTAATACTTTTCCCATAGAACATCAAATTCGGATAAAGATGATGTTATTACAGCAAGTTTCAGAAGTTCAGCTACTTATGGAAAATTTACCACCTCCTGATTATCCTATCAATCCTTTTACAGACTGAAATAAATTTATTAAGAAAATACTCAATATCATTTTATCAACTATTATTTTAGTGATATTGTTTAAATTCTGAATAAAATTTATCACTGAAATATTAAAACGTATACATTATTTTTTATTAAACATATTTTTTATTGTTCAATAATTCAGTGCAGTATTGATTTGGTTGCAGCATTTTGATATAAAGATTTACCGCTTTAATAAGACCAACGAACAAGATGGCTCATGTGTGTCCAATCAGAACTTATTAGTGTCACTATTAAATATGACTTAACTATTAAACAGAAAAACTTACCATAAATCGTAGAATATCAAAACATAAGATTGTTGCACTCTTTGCTCTGGGTCCTGGGTCTATTATTATTAATAATTTTTACAGCAATTTTTTTTAAAACAAATTTTATAAATATCTAAAGGTAATCAACATATCAAAATTTATTGTCTTGTCCTGTGAAGTCCCTCAGAACTACAGGCGTGCATGGTGGTACTTCCTTCATTGGCAACGCAAGTGGGACCTCCCATCTATTGTGCAGGTCTAGATGTGTGTGCAACAAACCTACGCCATAAGACCGGTTATGAGGTCACAAACGACCTGTCACCACTGAAGTTGCTGACAGTGAAACATTTGGAAGTATTGGATGTGACCAGTTACAGAGGTCACTACAGAACGTCTCGTAGGACCACCATTGTCTGATGAGCGGTTCTGTCCGTAGCCTAGGGTTTCTAATAACTGGTCTATTCCCACAAAGCTTAGCCCAAGTAAAACAAGAGAAGGTCAAAGATTCCTGGCTACATTAAGAAAACATAACATAACAACCCCCGATCTTTAATGAATTCAACAGAAAATATACAGGGGTCAGGTCTTTACGGGAAATATGTGGTACATGTTTCCCTGAATACGAATCTGAAATTCTTTTTATGTCAACTAACAAAACTTATTGTTTTTGTGTAATTTACTAACTTGTATATATTTTTTAGGTATCACTGTGGTTAAAGAGCCAAACATTTAAAAAAACTCTATTTCTAATAAAAAAAGTAAATAAATAAATATTAATAAATACACGATTTATTAAATATTAAGTAATATTGTACGTAGATACATTACCAATTGTAAGTATTTTTTTTAATCAACTGTTACACAGCGAAACTAATGGAAAGTATATTTTTTTAACTTTTACATGATTTATTATGTATTAACCAATACGTATGTAGATACGCTACAAATTTGAGCTTTAAAATAATTATTTTTGCTGTTTTAAGAAACTAACAATAAAAAATAAATGAAAATACTAATCTGATTAATATGAAATCAATTTTTAAAATTGTTTCAAGTTTTTACAAACATTTACGTGTTACTATTTTTTAAGCAATTCGGCGAAAAGGGATTGACCGAATATACCTATCGTATGTTACATTTTTATTTTAGTATTTGACGTTATCGTTTTGTAAACGGGTGTTCGTATAGTACCTTTGTGTAGTATAACAGTTATTTGCTTCAGTGTTTATTGATAGTAGTACAGTGTATTCTTATGTATTAGTTTTCAAGTTTGTGAGTGAAAAAGCATGTACACAAATCAAGAAAGAGGTGATATGATTAGAGCCTTCTTTTGTTGGAAGATTTCACCATATTTCACTGAAATTAATCAGTTAAATAAAAAAAACATTCAGCTAGAAATTCTTTAACATATTTCATAAATGTTTAAAATTCAAGTTTTTAAATGTAAAATGATTCACAAAATTATATTACAAACATTTATTTTTTGTGTGCTTCAATATAATCATACAAATGTGTATTCATTGATGTACTATTCGAAGTATTCTTCTGTTTATTTGGGTAATTGTGAAAAAATTGATGAGCCAAAACATTGTTTCAGGGGTTATTTTTATGAAACTAGTTTACCTAACCAAATAAATATATAATAAACAAATAAAAAATACACATCCCTATATCACACACTTCGATAAGTTGTTAACCTTTTTTTTCCTTTTCAGAACTAAGAATGACAGTTTGCTTTTAATTAGTTTTGACAGTTTAAATTTGTCCTTATAACTAACTAATAACTTAAGTCCTTCCTTGTTGGTTACAAATATTAAACGTAATAATAACATATTACTTTATTACTAAAGAAATAAAAAAAGTAATAATTATTATAAACAAGAATAATGATCTAATATAAGGTTCTATTATGTATTTGTGCTTCTCTGGATTTTGTAACCTTTTCTATTTAAACACAACTGCTTACTTAGGGTCGTATGACACTAAGCTAAAATTTGAACTAATTTCAGTAATTAACTACGAACTTTTTAATTTTGAATAGTATCACAAAAACTACAACAAAAATTTTAGCATAGTGTCATACAACCCTTACCCATTTGGCTCTATTTCTTCAAAGGTGGCACAATACGCAAATAAACAGAAAAAAAACTAAATCTATGCCACAATTAAAAATTTCAGACAGATTTAAGTATAAAATGTTTTAAATTTGACCAATGTGATAATTGTACATAAAAACAAAATACAATATACAGGGTGACTTCACTTTAAATACAGAAACTGCAGGACTAGATTCATTACCAAAAAATAAGTAGAGTTTGCTCTATAAACCTTTCTCCTGTGTGACTCAGTATTCGAGATGTGGTGTTTTATATTTTCTGCCATACCTTCATATGTGCCAACAAAATTTACTACAGCGTATTCACTTAATTAGACCTTTTATTGAATGTAATATTAACCTTGTAGCTTTAACCAGTGGCATGCTACTGGTGCTGCCCTATTTTCCCAAGAAAAAAATATGCCACTGTCGGTTTTTTGTAGAAATAATGGTACATTCAATGAATGAAAAATGTTTCTTGTTGTTTTTTAATAGTAGCAGCCGCTTAGGAAATACTTGGGGTTGTATTTAAGTTTTATTGAATTTTCCTAATAAATTAAATCCGTTTATTTAATAAAAACCTCTTGGTTATATCCAGTGACATGCTACTAAAGCGCTTGCCAGCTTAGAAAAAATAAACTAATAATAAAATAATATTAGCAAATAGGTCGGGTAAGTAATTAACATCTTCCAATCAGGCTACTTATAAAGAAACTTATCATGTCATGATTTTTCCTGAGGAGATTACAATTTTCCTCTATTCTTTGTCACAATTCGTCTCGTGTTCATAAGCCTAAGATGGATTGCAGCTTTAGGAATAAATAAACAAAGCTAATTATAATACTAAAACGAGATCATCGTAAAGCTTACTAACTAATAATGCAGACAAAAGAATCAATTTTTGCAAATAGATTTTAAACAAAAATGAATATGTGGGGACTAAATTTGCGCATTACAGTCGGGAAATAAGTAAATTATCTCCTAAACGGCTGCTACTATTAAAAAACAACAAGAAATACTTTTCATTTATTTAACGTAACAGTACCTGAATTTAACATTATTTCTACAAAAAACCAAGAGTGGCACCTTCAGTAGCACGTCACTGGTTAATGCCACGAGGTTAATATTACATTCAATAAAAGGTCTAACGAAGTGAATACGCTGTAGTAAAATTCATTCAAATCGTTCAGCGCATTTTGAAGACATGACAGAAAATATAATTTTTTGGAAACTTGAATACCCTGTATCTTGAATACCACGTCCCCCAGGAAAAAAGTTTATAGTCTACTTATTTTTTGTCAACTAATCTATTCCTGCAGTTTCTGTATTTAAAGTGAAATCACCCTTTATAATTTATTCAGATACATATTTTTTGAAAATGAATTATTGTAAATTGTACCTATTATATAATATATTAATTTCTTATAACTGTGTTATTGCTTGAACTTGAATTGTTTGATGATCTGATGTTCTGAAAAAAAATACAGAGTATAACAAAAATATAAAATCATGCATTGCAACAATAAAAATACAAATTTCTTTTTAAAGAAATTATCCACAATGAAATTACTAAAAGAAAGTTTAAAAAAATTCAGTTTTCATGACAAAATTTGAGAAAACAAACTTATGATACACGTTCCTAAAGGTCAAAGGTATCCTCCGAATAAATATGACCCCCATTCAAAGTTACACTCTTTATACTCAGTGGGGTAGACTAATAAAGAAAGACTAATACTAAAGAACAATTGGATATAATACCCTACCTAATTTGAAAGATAGATAACAGGATTGCAGACCTTCCATTGTATAATAAATTATTAATAAATTTCTTTCTGCATTTTTTGGAGAAATATGCTATTGGAAATTGTAGATACACATGTAAAGTACTTATATTTTAAATTTTATCTAAAGTTAATTATTTTTAAACACAGAAAAAATTTAAATGTATATTTTTACATATTTGGAACATTTTTACAATTATAGGAATAAAGTTTCATGGGTATATCTCTAATAGTAAGAGAGATATGACCAAATAATCATGCCATTTGATAGCCAGAGCAAACTTTATATCACTGCAATCATAATAAAGTGCTCTATCTATACATAGAAATTTTCATATGTACAGAATATTGCACTATGTTTTACACCTCGCCTGCAGCTGTTATTTTCGGAAACAAATAAAATTGTTAAATATAAATGTTACATAAGTGCTTATAAAGAGTCAGAATTTTATAGAGGAATAAACAAATAAACATTGTAAAGGTGTCAAAATAAACCAACTTTTATTAAATCAACAACCCTATATATTTTTTTTATGATTTTTGGACAGAACATCTTCATTTAGGTTGATCTCAAGGTAAGATATGGCCAAAATAATAAATATCGACATGGCACAATCACTAGGCCCTTTACTATTAGTATGTGCCCTACCGCTAGGTACAGTGCTAACTGTACCCCCGCAAAACAGTGCCAAGCAGATGTAACCATTGAATCGCTTGCTGCAGATACAATGGCACAGCGCACCTTACCTCACCAGATCTTGCACCTAAGCCTCATCCAGTGAAACTGAGCCTAGAACGTGTATTTTTCGGATCGTCAAACAAAGATTAGCTAATAAGCAGTAAAAAAAATGCTGATTATATTTTCTTAAATATTTATAAAGGTGATCTGATGATGAAGATGAGGAAAAACTTATATTTAACATGCTAATCTTTCATTAACTAAAAAT